GTTGCATTTTTGGGCACTTATCCTAGAAAAATGAAAACTTATGTTCATGCGAAAACCAGTACACAAATATTATAGCAGTGTTATTCATAATAGACCCAAACTGGAAACAAGCCAGAAATCCTTCAAGAGAGAATGGTAAACAAATTGGTACATCCACAGTATGGAATACTACAGAACACCTTTGCACAAACACACATGCACACAGATCAATCTCCAGATGCTGACTCAGAAAAGCCAATTCCAAAAGGTTACACAGTGTATGATCCTATTTATGTAACATTCTTGAGCTGGCAACACTGTAGAAATGGAAAATGGATTGGTGGTTGCTGGGGGTTAAGGAGGGGTTGGGATGGGAGGGAAGTAGGTGTGGCTATAAAAATTGCCACATAAGAGATCTTTGTTGTGTTGGAAAAGGTTTTTTTGCCAACTTTTTATAGGTTTTGATATTGTACTATAGAAAAGGGATTGAGCTAAAGAATAACAAAGGGTATTTATGGTCAAGAGAATGAGAGAGAAAAAGAAAAAAATAGAGGGAAAAAAAGCCAAAGTCAGGAAAGTGAAGGAAAAAAGAAGGAAATAAAATGTGGCAGAGGGTGAACACTTCGGGAAACAGGAACTTAAACAGCTGAAGGAAGGCTGGGCACAAGGGCAGGCTTCCCAGGGCAGTGTACCCCGAGGCGGGGCTCCCTCCCCGCCTCCTCCTGCACAGCCAGCCTCGCACCTCACTACTTTCCCAGCCTACCTGGAAAGCTTTCCCTGGCCCTCCCTGGCCCTCCCTGGCCCTCCTTGGTGTCCTGCATCCCTGTGATGGTGCTCACCCCAGATGCTGGGATGTTTCCAAGGACATGACCACCTTCCCCAGGCACCGTGGGAGAGCTCCAGGGAAAGGCAGACAGGGTGGTAAGGGACAGTCTATCCTAAGGTCCTGCACAAAGCCTGGCAGGTGGTAGGAGCACTCTACATGGTTTTGAAGGAATATATGAATGACTTTTCATTTGTCCAGTCAAGGGCATTTGCAGGGACCGAGGCAGCCTGCCTCAAGGCCGGGAGATATTTTCTGTCCTGTGGGGCTGCTCTGTGATGCCTCAAGCAGGCTAGCTGTTACCACCTTTCTTTGTAAGAGTCCCTTGGGCACCCATGGGATCCATTATCCTTGCTGGCTGGCCAGCTTCCTTGGGCAGAGGCTGCACCTCGTCTTTCATGCTCTATGACCCTCTTCCCTGCCTAAGCGGCAAGGGTGCCACAGCTCAGACTTGGGAGGAGAGTGGACTCTGAGAGTGCGACACAGATGACACTTCTTTGTTGTGGCTGTCCTCTGTTCCTCTAGGAGCAGCAAGCAGGGATGTAGGATGATGGCAGTAGGGCCTGCTGACCTTAATTGCAGGCACCCACAATGTGAGGGGTAACGGAGCACGCAGCACACCCCCCAGACCAATCACGACTCGGGAGACAGGAATGAGGGGCTGAGGTTTTGCCCTGGTCTCTCTCTCTCCCTCCGACTTCATTTCCCTTTCACTGCCCACACCACCCCTACCCCACCAAATAGGTTGACCAGGTTGACTTGGTGACCAGGAAGTGCTCTTGTTGTCGCCAAACTGGTCAGATTATCCCTGACCTTTGTCCCCCGAGCCTGCTCTGGTCTGGAATGATAATAGAACCTAACTTCTATGCACCAGGGTCATGTGTTAAAGGTTTGGCTCTGACATTTAACTTAACAAGGCTGCTGGCAAGCATTGCTGCCATCCTGGGCTCTCTTGACTAGAATAGCTCACTTATCAGAATGTCAAGGTAGGAAGGACTAGATAAGCTGGCTGCTTTGGCAGCGGCCCCCTCAGCAGCCAAGATCTCAGGAAAGGCAAGCCGTCCCCTCCATTTGAAAAAAATTCCAGAGAAAGCCACTTCACAGGTCTCTTAGAGAAATACATTCAGGTATTTTTTCCAATGTCTCACTACAGTCCTTTGTATCTGAACTCCAATTCTTCTGATCTTGTCTTTAGGAAAAACAGGAAAAATCCTCCACAGCTGACAACTGTCTTTATAGACACCTGATGATAGGCCCTCTCTTAGAAACACTGCCAGCTCTCAGTGGCCTGTCTGTGGCTCAGACACAGGGAAAATTTTAATCTAAAAATGGCTCCTTCGAACTACCTAATGGATTCTTGATCCCCTTTCATTCTCTCAATTGTCCTCCCACTCCCAGCCTAAATATTCAATCAGGATGCCTCAGAAAACGCAAGCTTTTGCTAACATTCTCCTAAGTGGAAAGTATAACCTTGCCCGAATTCACATTCCAAGGCTTTCCAAAATTAATTACTCCTGTCGCATGCTAGGTGATCAAATAAATGGTTGTGGAGCTGATGTGAAAACAAGAAACAGAAGTCGATGTGGTGTTCAAGTACATGAACGCACGGCACACCCATTCGTGCTTTGGCCGCAGAAAGCATTGGGAACAAGGTCGTTTTCAGAGCCAGTGGCAAGGGGAGAAAGCGCAGCCCAGGCGGCTCTCGCCCGTTGCGGGGTTGATTTCATCACAGGTGGCCAGAGCAGCCTAGGAAAGTGCTTGGGAAGGTGCCTGCCCCACTGTCCCTGCAGTGAGCTTGCTCCATAGACTGCCAGGGGCAGCAAGGCCGAGAGCATGCTCATGGCAGAGAGGCACTGATGTGTCTGCTGGACCCACAGATGCAAGAGCTCTGCTGCACTCAGGATGTGCCTAGACTCAGGGCACCATGTCAGGGAAGCCCCCTGAGGGCTGACGTCATGCCCCGGGAGGGCAGCAGAGCTGCAGGGACAGCCTGCTCAGCGTGAGCAGCAGGCCATTCTCGTGGCTCACGCGTCACTCAGTCTCCCCTCCAGCTGCTGCTCTGCTTGCTGGATGGAGCTCATTCGTTTTCTGTTTAGTGCAGCCCTGCTACTTAAATAAGAAACACTGTCTGTGGGGAATGCCAGCAGTGTGTGGTGGCTTTGGGAGAGAACAGGAGACGTCTTATCTCTGAGGGGTCCCCTTTCTGTCGGAGAGCCAGATGGTCAATCCAGAAAGTGGTTCGCCAAGATAGGGAGCTCTGCGCATGCGTGCAACGTGCAGGTAAGTGCCCTGTGTGGTGCCTCCTCTTTCAGGTGGAGCCCTGGTGCTGCTCTAACAATTCATGCTGTTGTGATCATTTATTATCAATCTCTTAATTAATGAACAGAGCCTGGCAAGTAATAAACATTTGATAAATGCCCTAAAATATTCCTTCCAAGGTAGAAGAATCCTTATCTTTTTCTAGGTTAGGTCATAAGTCTCTACTCTGTGAACTTCGTTGTAGTTTTTTCGGGCCCAGGATGGTTTGGGGATGGACAAAGGTGAGGTAGGGGGGCTGCGGCAGGAAGTTGGGAGGAATCGGGGAAAAGAAGAACAGTGCCATCACATGCATAAAAGGACTAATATCAGAAAGGAAGCATTCAATAAATGATAATTCTTTAATATCATTGCCAAGAAACACACCCCCTGGTCCCCAGTACGCCCACTAAGCAGGGCAATACCATCTCAGTTAAAAACCCCAGTCAAGCTGACAAGCTTTTGGTGACACAGCCTGACCGGGCCCCTCCCTCCCATGCCATTGGCCCGTGCTTTCTTCCACCAGATCTAGGGAGCCAGGGCCTCATTCAGCCAGCTGATGGGATTAACACCTAGGTTTGAGAAAAAAGTGTGAATTTGGGAAGGCCAGACAACTTTCACGGCTAGTGTTTGTTAGAGGCTGGCTTTGAAGTCAGAGGTCAAAGAGTTCAGGAGACAATCGTTCTGCCAGTATTAGTGCTCAGAACTCTCTAAGCTTTGGTCTCACCCATAAAGCCGGTGAAACAACCTCCACCTCACAGGACTGGCGTCCAGATAACTCATGGGAATGTGTCTATCTCAGTGCTTGGTTCCAAAATATTCACTTCATCCCACGTGGAAAAGCGCTCTGTGAACCGGAAAGCCCTCTGATGCTTAGTGATGAAAACTAAAAAGTATGTTTTGGAGTCAGACCCAGGCGGGAATCTCAGTTGTAAGCTGTGTACCTCCTGCAAGTTGCACAGCTGCCCTGAGCTGGGGCTCCACAGCTGTGGAGAGAATAGAACCTGCTCCCCTAAAGGGATTAAAAGCAAGCCCTCGGCGTCGTCTGACACCAAGCCAGCATCCATAGGCCCAGCAATCGAGTGGTGTTTGAAGGGCTCTCAGAGCAGGTGCTGGGTTGGCCTTCCCCGACCCAAGGTTCGGGACAGCCCTCAGAACTGTGGGGGCCAGACCTTGTCCAAGGTGCCGGCATTGGGCATTGCCGTCAGGCGGCTCCACAGCCTGAGAGGCAGGGAGAACCCTGTTGGAGGGGAGGCCCAGACAGCTCTGCAGGGGCTACAGAGGTATGGGGGCAGGAGAATAATGATGATGCACTTCCTTATTCCCCATCCCTGCCTTGACTCCTGGCCTCTCTGAACAGTTTGAAAGATGTTTACGAAGAGAGACAGAGGCATCCAGGTAGTGACCAGGCAGCAAGGAGGGCAGAATTAGCAAGGCCATGTTTCCAGTTTGGCTGGACTGAAGAGAAACATGATGAAGCTGGGGATCTAAGGCTGAGGGTGCTTGCTCCCTGTGCCAGTCCAACCTTCCGCTCCCCACTTGCAGTCAGAGCCACTACCCAGGGGGGCGATGCCCCTCTCCCCACTGCTCTGGCTGCTCACGCCACTGATGGGGTCTCTCAGCAGCTCAGGTAGTCCTGCTCTGTTGCCAGAAAATGTTCACAGCCCTCTGATCGCGAAGCTCCAAAGCCCAGGGCAGCCTGAGGGCTGCACAGAGAGAGCTCCAGTTTGCTGGCTGAACTTCGGACCCCTCCTGAGCCCTTGGCTGTCCCTTTCAGCTCCCACACGGGCAGGTGCCTGGGAACGGCTAGCTGCCAGGGGCAACGGCAGCCTGAGAGATCCTGCCCTGTTTCCAGAACCAGTGAGCTGGGGCAGAAATGGAGGAGGAAGGAAAGACAACTTACTTGTTGCGATCAGAGCTTCCAAGTCCCGCTGATGCTAACTTCTGGGGCGTCCCTTAGAGGCGGGGCTGAGGCGGTCAGGGCCCTGGAGGGGACTCTCCAGCCCCAGCCATCCCCACAGCCCCAGGCTCTGCCAGAGCCTCTTGCTGTCGCTGGGTCCTGCGGGCAGAGCTTCTAAGCCATCCCGTCCTTCCCTCGCCAGCCCGTCGGTCACTCCCCTTCTCCGGCGGGGGCGGCTGGGCTCCGGCCCGCACGCGCCCTCCGCCCACTTCTCTCCCCTGGCCTCCTCCCTTCTCCCCACTACAAACGAACCTCGGAGTGACACTGTGTAAAAACCGATTTAAAGGGCCACCGGCAAAGGCAGCAGGGGCGGGGCATGGGCGGGGGTTCCCGGCGATCCCGGGACGCCGGCAGTTCTGAGAGAATCGCACCGGGAGGGTTGCTTCCATTTCTCGGCCCCCCCTCCACACCGGCGCCCGCCACCTCCCTGCCACACCCGCGCCGCTTCTACCGGGGGTACTTCTGGCTGAGCGCTTGCAGAGGACGGGGACCTGTGCGCGTGCAGGTGCATGAGCTCGCGCGCGTGCATGCGTGCGCGCGCCCACGCGTTTAGTAGATGCCATGGAGGAACCCAAGGAAGGAAGAATCTAGGCGGACAGAAACCTTAGATCAGAGTTTTGGAGGGCTGCTCAGCCACTCCGCGGTGCATCGAGGGAGCGGTTGGAGAAATTTAGTTGCATTTCCTTAGATGGAGTAGAGCAGGTGGGAGGCATCCTGGCGAAGTTGGGGAAGCCACCGTCTGGGCACAGCATCCCCACCTTCACTGCTCTGGCTCTTGCGGGTGGAGTGAGGCTCTGGGGCGCTCTGACCTTCTGGCTGGAGATGGAGCTCCCCTAGAGACAGGAAAAGGTCTGCTGCTCCTGGGCTCGCTGCTCACCCCTCGATGCCCTCTCCAGCAGCACCCGTGGCCTGTGTGTGGCTGGGTAAGAATAGCAGAGGGACATGCTCCCACCACTCAAAGCCTTGGGCGGTGCAGAGGCAGAGCCCCAGATGAACGCACACCTAGGCTGGGTAGAGCCACTGCCGTCTGCTGTGTCCTCCTTGCCTTGAGGAAAGGTGATTGCACGCCTTTATTTTTCAATTCATATGAATGGGAGGACAGGCAGCTGCAGACATAGCACTCCCTGCACAGAGAGGGCTCCTGCATCTGGGGGACGGGTCCGTTCAGGGGAGCCCTTCTGGCTGGTGGTGTCCCCTCCTGCCCCTCTCTGCTGCCCAGCCTTTTGGGTTGCACACCCCTGCCCCAGGCCCTGAGTGTGTCTCCTCTCGTGGGCAGGTGCACCCCATCAAGCTGTGAGATGAGGCCGGCAGACTGCAGGCTCCACCAGGGCAGAAACTGTTTTGTTCTCTGCTGAGTCCCCAGCACCTACCACAGGTGCTCAAAGAATGTTTATCAAGTGAACACTGTCAACAAGAAAACCAGTTTATTAAGTTACTAGGACACAAATGCTCATCACTGGGACTAGGGTTCCCCCAGCCTGTCATCTCCTCCAAGCCCAGCGACGTGACAGTGCATGGAAGCTCAGTCTCATACTGGGGACCCGGGGGCTTCTTCTGCCTCTACACAGAGCCAGTGCCCGCACACTATCCCAGGGACAGAGCACAGGGGGAGTGGCACAGCCCTGGGTTGCCTCCTGGACCCCCTTCCCGGCTCTCTGTAGAAGAATCAGTCATCCAGTGTGACTGCAATGGGCCCTGACTAACCGGGAAATCTCTCAGTCCCTTTAGGGATGGAGTCTGTCTTCCTGTTCATCCATTACAAGTTGATCTTATGGTTTAACACTCTGAGAAGAAAGATTTTAATTCCTTAGTTCCCTAATTCTTGGGAGAGGCCTTGGCTGTGGAGCTCTGGTCCAGATGATGTATAATATACACATTTACTGAGGCTAGGAGGGGCTCTGTCCCGGAGTAGCAGTTGCCTTTGGATTCAGTATAAAGACCATGGAATTTCTTCTGCCCTGATGGGGGCAGCTTGGCTGACTTTGAAATAAAATGTAGGGTGGCCTGGGAAATATTGTTTTGTAAATATTCTTACAGTGGTGGATGGGGCCTTAGCTCAGGAGACAGGAAACCTCGGTACAGTTCATGGCCCAGACCCAAAAAGTGAGAAATAGGGGGAGTTCTAGTCCTGACTGGTTTTTTGCAAATTGAGGTGAGCCTTAACTTTTCTATGGCCACAAGTCCCAATGAGTACAGGTGACATTTGAGGACAGAAAATACAGTTGAAGAACAACTCAGGGGGCTTGAAAGATGCTAAATGCGCCTTTCCTTGTCTGAAACTTGATGAGGCAGTGCTTGAAAGCACCGGAGAACTGGTGTGTTATCACTGTTAATTAGTGCACAAACCACGGCTTCTGTTTGCCTTCATCTGCTTCTCTTACCTTCCTTCATTGAGCAAGAGATGAATGCACAATTAAAGCTTTCTCTTTAGAATATGACACGCAGGAAATTATTTTTTCTCCTATTTATAGAAAATCCATTTGCATTCATGAAGCTGGTAATGTCTCATAAATATTTCCTGCCAGATAAAATATTAATTAAAAGGGTTTGTTGAGTTATACCCTAAAGTCCTAAGTGAAACTCTTCTCAGACAAATATTTTAAGTATTTTCTCTCTGGTCCAGAGACTTCCTCAGACATTAGTTGTGTAGGTAACAAAGCCCATCTATAAACAGCAGATGGTATCAATGAATAAATATTCATTTTCCGTATGTAAGACTTCAAAAAGAGGTGGGAACACAGTTTGAAAAAGACATATGCATCCCTATGTTTATCGCAGCATTATTTATAATAGCCAAGAAATGGAAGCAACCTAAGGGTCCATCAGTAGATGAATGGATAAAGAAGATGTGGTACATATACACAATGGAATATTATTCAGCCATAAGAAGAAAATAAATCCTACCATTTGCAACAAGTTAGATGGAGCTAGACAGTATTATGCTCAGTGAACTAAGCCAGGCAGAAAAAGTATCAGATGATTTCACTCCTCTGTGGAGTATAAGAACAAGGCAAAAACTGAAGGAACAAAACAGCAGCAGAATCATAGAACCCAAGAATGGACTAACAGTTACCAAAGGGAAAGGGACTGGGGAGGATGGATGGGAAGGGAGGGATAAGGGGAAAAAAGGGGAATTACGATAAGCACACATAATATGGGGGTGGGGCACAGGGAAGGCTGTACAGCACAGAGAAGACAAGTAGTGATTCTATAGCATCTTACTATGCTGATGGACAGTGACTGTAATGGAGTATATGGTGGAGACTTGATAATGGGGGGAGTCTAGTAACCATAATGTTGCTGATGTAATTGTACTTAAATGATACAAAAAAAAAAGAGGTGGGAACAGTATAGCAAATAATTGTGATGCTGCCCCTGTATTAAACAACAAAGCATGACATTGCCAACTCTGTTGAATCCACCCTGGACTACCGCCTCTTCTTCAAAGAAGACTCAGTGGCCTGAATTTAATGTTTCTCTTTTTTATGGCTTCTTTATGCCAAAACCTCATACACATGCACATCTATTCAATGAGTGACTATTGCCCACATATAAGCATTCTTATAGTCACAAACTCTTGATTATGACCAATTATGTTTGAGACACTTAGGTAAGTCTTGTGGGAAAAACTAAACAGCAGAACGGTGCACTTTGATGTAAAATGCCTTGCAGTCTAGTGGGGAGGGTCAGCTATATGAAGGGGAAAGTCAGCTGACAAATTAACAACTTGGGATTTTATTTTGTAGGTGCTAATTGGATGGGCTGATGATGCAAAACAGATAGTACAGCTAACAAAGCATGGAAAGTAGGGGCTTGGGGCTGACACCTGCCTACAGAGAGGGGAGGCATCTCACGGGCTCCCCGAAGAGGACTGGTGTTGGGGAGGTACAGTCAGAGCATTCAGAGACCTGAGGTGAGGGAGTGATTGGTGCTGGGTGCCGAGGGCAGGGACAGAGCAAGGAGATGATGATGGCAAGTGGCTGTAATGAGCACCTTCTACGTGCTGTGGACTCTGGTAAGTGCCTCACGTAAGTAAATGCTTTTACTCTTAACGAACTTGTGATGGATTAATACTGTCACTGCTTCTCCGATGAGGAAACTGAGGCTCAGACAAAGCAGCCTCTCCTTGGCACTGTTGTTAACAGTGCATTTCAGAGCCCACTTTTGTGAGATTCCAGAATCATTTTCCTAACTGCTGTGGGCTGAAGCGTGTCCCTCCACTCTCCAGATTCTTACGTCAAAGCCTTAACCTCCAACACCTCAGAAGGTGACTGTGTTTAGATTTGGGGCCTTTAAAGACATGATGGAGTTAAAATGAGGCTCTTTTGATAGGTCCTCACTCAATTTGACTGGAGTCTTTATAAGAAGAGGAAATCTGGACACACAGAGACATGTAGGATGCCCACGCTCAGAGGAAAGGCCCGTGAGGATGCAGCAAGTAGGCATCCATGTGCAAGCCCAGGAGAGAGAACTCAGGAGAAACCAGCCCTGCCGCCCCATGACCTTGGCCTTCCAGGCCCCAGGAGCATGGGAAATACCTGGTAAACTAGTACGCCAGCCGTAATGGAGGGAGTGCAGGCCCGCAGAATGGCCTTGAGTCCCCGGCCGTGGAATTTGGATCTAAGTCTGCAGCTGGGAGGTACCTATTGAAGAGTTCAAGTTAGGGAGAATTATGAGCCATTTTTGTGACGATTACCCTGGAGATAGTTGTATATCATTCTGTGATATGACGAGTTATAAGAAATACATGTTTGGTCATTCATATGACCAAATACATATTTCCCAGGTATATTTGGTCTTCATCTACAGTTCCTGAAAACACTGCAGTCTTAAAGGTGAAATGGGCATTTTGTCATGTTAATGAGAGACTTTTGGACCCCACCACCCAAGGTTGAATCAGCCAATGGCCCATAATTTAGTCTATGCAATCATGACTATGCAATGAAGCCCTCATGAAAAACCCCGAGAAGAGCTTATTTCTCTCTTGCTCTGCTCTGGCTCTGCTGGATCCTGCTTCTTGCCTGGAAGGGGCTTCTACACTTGGGGAGCCAGACTGCCTCCACGTGTCACCAAGCCAGGCCCCAGGCTCCACGAGGACAGAAGCTCCTTTATTTGGGACCATGCCCAATGTCTCTCTTCATCTGGCTGTTAACTTGTATCCTTCACGGTATCTTTTATTAAACTGGTAAACCTAAGTGTCTTCCTGAGTTCTGTGAGTTGCTCTAGCAAATTACTCAAACCTAAGCGGGAGGTCGTTGGAACCTCCAATCTGTAGCCAGTATGTCAGAAGCACAGTTAACTGCCTGGAGCTTGCAACTCGTGCTTGGAGT